ATTATGTCCCTTCAAAAGGGACATAATTGATCTGCAAAATTTTATATGCTAAATAGTTTAGGGACCCATCCTTACCTGAAAGATATATGCTCCCAATGACAACTGCCAGGCTCTAGATTAGGTTAAATAGTTTATAAGTTAGTAGTAACATTTCTATCACCTAAAGATCCCACCTGGATGTGTGGGCCCATCCCCGCAATAGTAAATTTGTATAACTGGATAAGGCTATAGGTGGAGGGGTAGGTTAATTTAAATAGATCTTGTAGTCATGTAATTGAATATAAATCACTCAATAAAAGATCATGTGCTACTAGCACCTTTGTATCCGAAAAAAAAAAAATAATAATAAATAAATAAATAAAAACTTTAATTTAAAAAATATTTTTTTAGTTATAAAAATTTAAAAAATTTTATTAAAAAAGAAAAGTTTTATAAAGTTTAAAAAATTAATCAAAAGAAGTTTATTATTATATAAAGTAATATTTAATAATAATACATTTTTATTTTTTAATATTTGATTAATAACAATTAAATTATGACCTATAGATCTATAGCATAGTAATAATATTTCATAGATTATTAAAAAAAGATCTAGGGTTCAAACCTATATGGTTATAAAAATTTATTACCTTTATTATTGATTAACCGGCTTCCAATACATATTATATTCAATTAGCTGAAAATTACCTATCAAATCAAGCTAGGCTGCATGAAAATGAGATCTCTAGCCTTTTTGACAATTGTAAACTGAAAACAGGTTAAAACAGGAAAGATTGCATGAGACAAGACTTCTAGTCAATTTTCAATATAAGTTTACAACTCCAACTGAAACAACAGACTCTATATTACCATTATTCCTATTCAGATTAGCTAGTTTCCTAATTTAGATTATACTCAATTAGTTAGTATTCTAAAACTGGATTGGTAGACTTTGAAATTCAATTGAACCTTTATCTCCCTATTTGATATTGATACAATCTGAATTAGTGATCTAATTATGGAAAAGAGTTGGGCTATAAGTCAAAAAGAAAACTGCTAGAAAGATTTTTTAACTATTGAATAGGATTTTTCTTATATTATATTTACAAGTAGAGAGTTACAAGTATAAATTAGGATATGGATCTATCTATTTGATATAAGTTGATATTTTGGTAAAAAAAGATAAGTAGTATGAGTTAATAAACTATTTATATATAAATAATTGTGATTTAATTAATTTGACAATAAAATCCATATGTGTATTATAACTTAGCTTTTTTAAAATAATAATAATAAAATAACAATTAAATTTTAAATAAAATAAAAAATAATAAAAGTCAATTTTTTAATATTTTTTGAAATTTATAAAAGTTATAAAAAATTTTGATTATTTGCTTAAGATTTTCATTTCTAGAAATAAATTATTTGATATTTAGTAATAGATCAATAATCAAAGTCAATAACTTTTATTATTATTAATTAATTTTATTAAGTATAATATTAATTATCTTTTATCAATCATTTATAATATTAATAATACCATTTTTTTTTTTTAAAACAAGTCATTTTCATCTTTTATTTCTTGTTTCATATATAGTGCTATCTATATATTAACAAGTACTAGTTTAAGTTATAAGTTTAAAGACAAACCTAAGAATTGTGGCTATAGTATCTTTATATAATTTGACAGTTTCATATATTAGCTTTGAAAATACATTAATCATTTAACACTAAAACTAATTTAAAGTACATTAAATATATTAAGGGTAATAATAGTTAGTATTGTAGATAGATTAATATTAATTTACAAATTTATTTTGTAAAAATGTTAATATAAATTGAATATTATATATATCAATAAAGCTTTGCAACTGATATTTTTTTACAATAAAAATAATAATAATAATTAAAAAAAAAACAAAACTTTTAAACTTGATTAATCTTTAATTAAAACTTTTATTCTGATATATTGATTGTTTTTGTAAAAAAGAAAATAAATTATTTTTTTTCATAATAAAAATTGTTATAAAAAATTGTTTATTAAAGTTTTATAATTTTTATTGATTTTTATAAAAATTCTTTTTAATTTTTTAATTATATTCTTGATATTATCTAGTAAGAAACTTAATTTGATATAAAGAGTCGAAATAAGACCAATTCAATCTGTTAATTCAAATATGGTATTGATTTGTACAATAAGATTGCTATTTTAAGTTTCTTTCAAAACTATTTTTTCTTTTAATATAAAAAATTAATAAAATTTTAAAATTTACGAAAATATTTCACATAATATTAAAAAATAATTCAAAATTTAAAATATTTAAAGCATTCTATCGCTGTTACAATAATTAAAATCAAAAAAATTTTTTTTTTAGTTCACATCACACGAATATTAAATTTAAAATATTTACTAAATATAAATATTAAAAAATAGATTACCTACCTATCTTTGTTACAATATATTAATTTTAGAAAAGCGTGTGCATTTATCCATAAATTTAGTCATCAATGCTAATGGTTCATTTTTAATTCATCACGACTCCGATGTGAATATTGTGTTAAACACGCCATGCATATAACGCAACCGTATGATCAATATCGAACAATGATTATATAGACCGCTTCTCAATGAGACAATATATCCCGTATTGTATTTATTGTGTGAACAATATTTATCTTTAATAACAATTGTTAATTAAGTTTGCATTTTTAATTGCATTTTTATGCAGAAATTTTAAACAATGCATTCTTAGCCTTTACTTGTGCAACCTTGTCTTCTTCCATACACCACATCAACTATTGTCCATGTCAAACATAATTCGCACACAGAACAGCAATGCCAAATTTGACATGCGGAAAAAAACAAAATACTTCGTTCAACTTGGGACAAAGTTTGTTCTGTGCATGTACAAAAATATATATAAATATATCCTTATAATATATATAAAGTAAGTTCTCATGTATCCAAAATACAGTTTACACATAAGTCCCTCAGCGAAATAGAATAAAAAGAGAAAAAAAAATTAATAAATGAGTTATATTAAAAAATCGATGAAGGTAAATTAATTAAAATGCTTGGGAACTTATCAGCAATTTCTGAAGTGAGCGGTGACCAAAGGCAAAAACGCAAACGAAAAAGAGAAAATAAAGGAAGTGCATTAGAACATAAATAGTAATCGCCTACTTGCTACACATTCGGCACATATCTTCTCCAAGGTTAATTTATAAACAATGAACGTCTTTCAATTGCGCCAAATGCTCGGAATTGCAAGCATAGTTTAATGTGCCTTTGCGATAAGTTCCAGCAATTCAAGCACTTCTAGTCACCGCCGCTTAAGCTGGTTTAAATAGGCTAAGTAAATACCAAATTGTTGACAATGATTGGATAAAAATGCAAATTATTTTCTTACCTGAGTATCAAGGAGTTGTCGTTGTTGGTTAAGGAAAGATGAATATGCCTGACGTTGCAAGAATACATGATCGCCCTGAATGCGTCGACCCATGTTAAACCAAGCACTTAAAACCAAACGGACTTCTTTAGCAGATTGCTCTTTATACTCCTTGTTTAGTTGCTATCATTTAAAATTAATGAGTTAATAATTGTTATTATAATAGTTCGGCATGTTGAATTTTCAAGTAAAATATTCTTACCTCGAGACGCGCAATTTCTTCAGCATGAGCTTGACTCTTAGCCTGAACCGCAGTCTCATTATTCTTGTAACTTTCAATAATCTCATGTTGACCCGTAATTAGTTGCTTGAGATTTTCCAACTTTTTTGATTTTTCTGCGACTTGCTTGCTGAGTTGAATATTCTGACTCCTAAGATCGTCTTCGCTTTTACCTTCCAGATTCTGAAGGATGGAATTTAATTCGCTGACAAATTTTTATAATGAAGCAAATAATAAGTCTAAGTTAAAAAAATAAAAAAATAATGGAACCAAACTTTACAACATACTCATTTTGACCCTTCATTTGTTCTTTTTCGGCTTCCAATTCACTGACTCTAGCCTCGAGAATCGCTGTATATAAAAGTAAAATAAACAATAAAAATGATGTTTCAATCTAATTATTTATAACAATTCCCACTCAAAATATTCCTTATAAGTTAGCTAAAAATTTATTGTATGATTATCTTTTGCAAATGTTCATTTTGGTGTAAGACTACTTATTTTTCGTAGTCGAAAGATAGTGCACATTGTCACTCATCTTTATCTTTTCTCTTCTTTACTGTGCTACAAATGAAAAAAAACAAAATACGTCGTTTAAAAGAACCACACGTACAATTTGATTTCGGTTCACCTATTTCTTTCTCGAGTCGATCGATTTTTATCTGTGCCTCGATATACTTTCGTTTGAGTTCTGATAATTCTCGCTCCTTATCGAAACTCTTTCGGTTTTCATTTTTATCACTTAATGTGAGAATTCAAGTCAGTATAATTTAATAATTATATTAATGGAGATTATAATTGAGACGAACCCATTTGAAGAACTGCCATTCTGTAATTGTACAAGTTCCTTCTCTAATACCAACTTTTCTTGTTGTGCTCGAACATAATCCTATAAGTTTCAGAAGAAAGTAAAGATGACAAGCAATAATTAATGCCTTAATATACATATATTTCATAATGAATTTGAAAAAATATAATTTAACGTCACCTTTTCAAATTTGTTCTTAGCACGATTTGCGTCATCCAGCATGTGCTGTAAAACTAGTAGTTGTGCATCCGCATCTCCATCTGCCGATTTACCTTCACGCAACTTTGCCAATTCGCGTTCAAGCTCATAAACTTTCAATTTTAAGCTAACCATTGTATTTCCTTCTAAGGCAATTGAAAGCTCACTATCATCAAGAGGTTGATCTATTTCATCTGCTTCTGCTTTCACCTCGCTTTCATGTTGAATACGTTCTCCTACATGTCATAAATTATTAATAATAAGCATATATAACTTCTTTCAAAAGTATGACGTATAATTAATCATGAACATACCATCGCCTGACTCCAATTCATGCAGTCGATCCTCTAACAAGCGTATTTTGTCCATGTCACGATTGGTTGCCATTTCGTAAGCTTCAATCTTTGCTCGCATATGCTTATATTCGTATTCGTATTTATTCTTTTGGTTCACTAGCTCAGTCTTCTCTGATTGAAGATCAACAATTTGTTGTTTATAATTCTCCATCAGATTTTTAAATGCCGCAAGTTTATGGTATTCATCTTCTAATTTCTGATTGCGTTCAAGCAGATCTTTGTTTTCTTGTTCCAAATTCTATATCGGATAGAAAAAAACATAGTTAGGATTGTTCCCTAAGTTTCAACGTACTAAATAAATATACACATTTCATAGTACAACCTTGAGTGATCTTCGCACATCTGCACCTTCCTCTAGTTTCTTTTTATATTTTTCAATTACATTCTCTGTTTTCCTAAGCTTATCAGTAGCATGTCTAAACTCATCTAGCTGATCTTTTAATCGCGCAGCTTCATCAGCTTGCTCAGTGAGAATCTCGACCTAGGGAAAAATAGTTTAAGGTTAGAAATAATTAAGGGTGCAATTTAAAAAAAAAATAAAAAATATGATGAATTACCCTACGAGTGAGGTCATTTATTATAATATTTTGATTCTCGATTAGCAATTCTGTCTCGTGACGTTTGTTTTCGCTACGAGATCTATAATGTTCAAAAGAAGAATGTATTAAACTTCTAATACGGAATAAAATTATATAATGAAATCATAATAAAATTACACTTACAATTCATGACGAAGGTTATCAATTTCTGTTTTCAGAAGGAAGTCTGCTTTACCATTTTGAGAAGACTGTGCTATCGCATATTCTAACTCTTTAAGCTTCTGATTTAGCTCCTCGCTTTCCATTTGCAAATCATCCTATACAAGTTAGAATAATAATTAATAACACATTAAAATATAAAACTTTAAATGTATTATCACGTACACATTGACGGCGTAATTTAGTATGATCTTCCATTAAAGTCTGATGTGCTCTTTCTAGAGCTTCTTTTTCGGCTAAAAGCCTTCTATGTTCTGCAGTAATATGCTTTAATTCTTCCTCGCTAAAATAATAATACAAATAATAAGAAAGATTACGAGGTTATCTAAACTCAATATATAATTTGAAATGTATTTACGGAACAAACACCGGACTTGACTGTGATTGGACTGTGGGCTCTTCCAATTTAATCATTACCTGTACAGAAAGTCATAAGTACAATGATTGTTCACAATGAAGAATAAACGAAGCATCATTTTTTGCAATTATGCAACATACTCTTTCAATAGATACTTTTAGCCCTTCTTGTGATTTTGGGCTAAGAGACTGAATCTTTTCAATATAAATCTTATTATTAGAAGATCTAACAGCCAATGTAAGGACCAGAGAGCAAAGCTTCATGGTTTCATCTAAATCTCCATCTCTCGCAATGCTGTTCAAGTTAGGAACTTCAATATTTTTAGTGGACAATTCGAGAATTTCTTCGTAATACCGCGTGAGTAGTGGGTACAATCGTTTGAGTTTATTGAATTTCTTAACCCAATTTTCTTCACGATTTTCATAATTATCGGTCGTCAGCTTGAACCACTTAGGATCTCTGTTATTCACACCAAATATGAATAGCAAAGGTCAAGGAATTTCTTTGATATACAAGCAACATAGTTATTGTCTCAGCCTCGAAGGTGACCTTGCCCCTTAACGTACTTACATGGTACAAACAATATCGATCAAAACATTGCCGTCGGTAAGATCGAGAATGGAATTGACGGGACGTGAAAGTTTATCAAAGGTATTCACCTAGGTAGGGTAGGTTGCGAATTGTCGCCCATGTTAGAAAATCATCAAGACCAGTGCTCTGTTTTGAAGTAAAAAAGGAACACTTACCCAGTCCACAAAAGCGGCAGCTATTTCCTGTTGACTCATGTGACTATGATTGGAAGAATTCCTGTTAAAAGAGGAGGGTGGTGTGCTTTGTGGTTGATGGTCCGAAGAATATGACCGAGATGGGAGAGCACGGTCTCTGTTAGAAGTGTAATTATTTAATGATTTTGACATGATTCGTTGTTGGCTTTATCAAAAAACGAAAACACAGAAAAATATTATAAATGAATTTCCACTTCACGGACAATCGTTTAAAGAATTTGTTAAGTTTCTAATAAGGATAAACGATGGAAGAAATGCAAAGTTTGATATGGTAAAGTCAATTTTGCGCGAGAGCTTGCTTACTTCTTTAAATCAGGCCTTATTCAATACACGTGGTATGGCACGACCTGTGATGAGCTTGTAAAACTAGTTTATTGCTTGATCAAAGATAACTGTATTATAAATTAAGATTTAATATAGTTATAATTATAGTGAATCCTTATAATCAAACTTTCAAAGTTGGCTCATATATAGCAAGACTTGAAATATAGAGAAGAATATTATATTAGTATTGATAGAGATAACTTTTTATTTTGAAGAAAAAAGACTAGTCTTTAATTTATACATTTACCTAATACTAATCTTTTATTTGAACTTATTACTAAAAAAGATAATTAATAAAAATTTTTTTTTAAAAAAATAACTTATTAAGTATTCTGAAAACTTGTTTTATTTTTTTTAAGATTATATTATTTAAAAAATAAATATATATAATTTTTTTATAACTTGAAAACCAACTTATATAAAGTAACTACAATATATGTTTAATTATTAATTATTAAATTATTTTTTTATATAAATAGATAATATTTAATATTTAATATAAATATTCAATTTTTTTTAAAAAAACTCCTTTCCCACACAACATTTTTCTTAAAAATTTCCTTTTATAGTAATTTTTTCAAAATCAAAAAAACAAATATTTTTTTCAATATCCAAATGTTTTTTATATTTTTTTTACTTTCATTATAAGAACTTCAAGAAAATTTTTTTTTTTTTTTAATGTTAAGTGAGGCATTTCTCACGATCTTTATTAATATAGTAAAATGAATTGTTACATGATTAA